GAGAGCGAGGCTACTGCTCCCGTGACCCGTAGGAAACGGAAGCAGACCGCCGGCCTCGAGGACACTCGAGGTAAGAAAAGCCGGAAAAAAAGGAGAAAATACAGCACCTTCTCCCCCTATTGACTCGGTATCGGAGCGCGAAAGTGATGCTGTTGCCGGTAAAAAGTAGTTACCATGTCTGATGTCCCACAATAGAATTGTAAAGAGCCATCGAACGTAATACTGCAATGGAATGTCCATGGGTTGCGATCAAAGTTATCTAAGATCCTGCTATTGACAAAGAAACTGAACCCTTGTGTCATCGCTCTCCAAGAAACGATGGCCAAGGTAGCAGATCTACCTCCAAACTATCTCGGTGGTAGATATAAGTGGTATATTAAGCCTCATATTAATGCCTACATCCACGGCACTGAATTGGCTATTAGAGTAGATATACCACATAAGGTAGAGCAGTTGGATACTGAACTGGAGGCCACCGCGGTCACCATTCAGTTTCCGTATAAGCTGACTGTTGTTAGCTTATACATGGCTCCGAGGAATAGGGTTGGCAAGGAAGTGAACGTCATCGGCAAACTGCAAGATCTCATCTCGCAACTGCCTGTCCCTTATGTGATAGTGGGCGATCTGAATGCGCATCACCCCTCCTGGGGATCACATAAGACGGACGTTCGTGGTGAGAGGTTGTATCAGCTACTGGACACGTTGGGTTGTTCAGTGCTGAACGATGGCAGACCGACTCGGTTCGATCCCACCACCGGGGTAGAGTCCGTGATTGATCTGGCCATAGCCTCTTGGGATGTAGCCAACCAGTTTATCTGGTGGGTTGACGATGACTTACACGGAAGTGATCATTTTCCTATCTCATTGTCACAGGCTGTAGACCTCCCGTCTACTGTGACAAGGCTGAGATGGAACCTTGAGAAGGCAGATTGGGACAGCTTTGGCAAAGAAGTCTGTCGCCAACTGCCTGATGATGACAGGATATTGAGACCAGGTGACTGGACCCAAATCTTGAGTAAGGCCGCTCATCGTCACATCCCAAAGGCTGGAGGAGGTATGAAAACTGTCCCTTGGTGGGGGACAGAAGTTCATACAGCGATTAAGGCTAGACGTAAATGTCTAAGGGCGCTGCGGTGGTTGCAGCTTGATGATCCTTCTAGGGCCGATAGATTGAGGGAGTTTCAGCTTGCTCGATCTAAATCTAGAAGCGTAATCAAAGCTGCAAAGCGGGATACATGGTCTGCTTTCACCGCAGATATATCGGAAACCACTAGCTCTGGTGAGCTATGGCGAAAGGTAAAATCTGTCGGTGGTAAGAACAGACATGTTGAGAGGGTTATTAAGTTGGATGGCAATTACACAAAAGACCCAGGACTTATCAGTGAGGCCTTTGCTGATCAATTTGCCAAGGTGTCGGCAAACAGCAATCACAGTGATGAGTTCCTGCGTGTAAAGTCATTGGCTGAGGGGGAGTACCGCTACTCCCGTGACAGGCAGTGTAGTCTAGTTAAAGACTACAACAGGGTATTCGTGCTTGAAGAGCTCAACTGGGCCCTGCGCCGCGGCCTTGGTAAGGCTGCGGGCCCTGACGACATCGGGTATCCCCTGCTTAGGAGATTACCCCTTGCCGGCCGATTGGCTCTTCTTGCTACTATGAACGAAGTCTGGCTTTTTGGCCAGATACCGGACGAGTGGAAAGAAGGGTTGCTTATTCCTATTCCCAAACCTGGGAAGGATAAAACCCTAACAGAGGGTTATCGACCGATAACCCTGCTGAGCTGCATGGGAAAAACACTCGAGCGGATGGTTAACCGTCGTCTGTCAACCGAGCTGGAGAGGCAAGGACGGATCCACCCACGGCAACACGCATTTCATGCGGCTATGGGTCGGAGACGTTCTTCTCTGAGCTCGATCATTTATTGGAAAAGGCCTCGTTGGAAGATTTGAATGTAGATGTAGTCTCCCTCGATTTGTCCAAGGCATATGACATGACATGGAAGCTTCCTATCTTGACTTCCCTCAAGAGCTGGGACTTCCAAGGATGTATGTTTAACTACGTAGAAAACTTTCTACAGAACCGTAGGTTCTGAGTATTGAACGCTGGCGCAACCTCTACCTCGAGGTTGCTGGAGAATGGCATCCCGCAAGGGTCTGTCCTTTCGGTTACACTGTTTCTCATTGCGATGAACTCAGTGTTTGAACGCATTCCCAAGGAAGTATACATCATTGTATACGCCGATGATATTACCCTTATCGTGTTAGGTAAATACCGTAGGGTGGTTAGGCACAAGATGCAGGATGCAGTTCAGTCTGTCGTTGACTGGGCAGATGGTGTTGGGTTTGTGATTTCCCCCGAGAAGTCCAAATTGCTGCACATCTGCTTTGGTCATCATCACAGACCGAACCTGCCTTATGTTAGTATCGGTGAGCATGCGGTCATGGCCGTACGCGAGATGAAACTCCTCGGTGTGACTATTGATAACAAACTCCGATTTGTTAAGCACGCCAAGTTGGTGAAGGATAACGTCAACAACAAGTTGAATATCCTTCGGACCTTAAATGGTCGCTTCTCTGAAGCCTCTCGTAGTACATTGACCAAGGTTGCTAGGGCTCTGGTTGTCCCTAGCATCCGTTACGGAGCGGAACTGTGGAGCAGGGGTGGTGTCTCCCTGCTCAAGATTCTGGAACCTCAGTACAATGAGGCGTACAGAATTTGTAGCGGAGCGCTGAGGTCTTCACCAATAGCTTCTCTGTTGGTGGAGAATGGAAAGGTTTCTTTGGTGAATGTTGTCACCGAAGACCTGGCCACCAAGGCGCTAAGGCTGCTAGAAAGGGATCTCATTCTCAATGACAGGCCCACGGTTGCAAGGGCGAGAGAATGGTGGAGCGACTTGACGGGAGTAGATCTTCCCACGTTAGCCCAGCGAGCTAGGCTGTGGCAACGGGCATGGGATGCTACTGCCCCGAAAGTTGATTGGAGGGTTAAAGCTATGTGCGGGGCGGGGGCTAGCTCTAGTGTGGCGAAAGCTGCATTTAGGGAGGTCGCTGCCTCATAGGAGGGAAGGCTCAAGCTATTTACGGACGGTTCATTAATCGAAGAGGAGGTTGGTTATGGGGTGTCTGGGGAGGACATAAGCCGCTGCGGCCGGTTACCCGGTCTCTGTGGTATCTTCTCAGCTGAGGCCTATGCTCTCCTGCAAGCTTGTAGGCTAGCAAATGGGTCTCAGGCTGTTGTATTCTCTGACTCTGCGAGTTGTCTCTCTGCCCTTGAGCATGGACAGGTTGGACACCCGTGGCTGTTAGAGGTGCAACGGTACGCTAACATAACCTTTGTATGGGTACCTGGACACGCAGGTATACCAGGGAATGAGGCTGCTGATAAACTAGCTAACCAGGGTCGTCTTGCTCGACTAGAGGCCACTCCGGTGCCCTATAGTGACGCTACCCGCTGGGTGAAGCAGACCTCGCGATATGCATGGAATGTGTCTTGGCATAACAACCGTGATGCATTCCTGCGTCGTATCAAGAACACTACACAAGAGTGGAAGGATGCACCTAATTCTCGAGATCAGAAAGTTCTGACACGGCTGAGGATTGGTCATACACGGCTCACTCATGGACCTCGTTTTAGCGGCAGTGTGGCCTACTGCCAGGGATGCGGTGCGGTATTAGATGTAAATCATATATTGGTGGAGTGCCCGGCAAGAGCACAATTAAGGGAAGATATGGGTGTCGTTGGTTCAATCCGTGAGGTATTGTTCAACGACAGGAGTACAGAGCAAACTGTACTCAACTTCCTGAGGGCGTTAGACTTATACGATATGATATAAGCATGAGTAAGTTGAAGTGGCATTAGAAAGAAAATGACTGGTAGTCATGCCACTTCATTCGACAAGAGGCAGTCTTTAAGGTCCTAAAGACCAAGGTGTGTGAGGGAGGACGACCGACCTAACGGGGGACACAATGATGAAACAGCTGATGTTTAAAACCCGTCTCGAATGAATTAAATTCTCCTCTTGTAGGGGAACAGTTTAAAGAGACGGTAATAGACGTATCCACAGTTAACGCTTCTAACGTACCGCTACTATAGGAGCGTTTACCCTATGAAGTTTTTTTCCCCGATGAAAACATTTTGCGTATACGTATACGTGAAGTAGTGTGCATACGATAAACGCCAGCAAACTCTATGCTCATAAAACTTTAATCAAACTCAAACAAAGCTGTAAGGCATTAAGAATGTTACTTGGGATTCATCGCCCATAAAGAACGATAAAACTATAAACATCCTCAGTATTACTTCCAGTTCCCCTATGCATACATGAATAAGCATTGGAAGAAAAAGACTAACGCTTTTCTTCAGGAGTAATTCATGTGTGTATCCCCACTTCTACCTTCGTTTAATTAATAAAATTTAACAGTGTGTTAGCAGTGCCCCTAGTAGGTATGCAACGTAGTACTTTAGAGCTTACACAGCAAACAGCTGCTTTTCTATCAGGCAGTTTGAAGTCGATCATTTCACCGGTCTTGGGTTCTACATGTTCGCTGGTGTTCAAATCTACTATGACGAAACATATAGCAATGAATGAATATATGTTGGTGACTGTTTGAAAATGAATAATTTGTTTCAAATATCAAAATAAATGTCTATGAGTAATTTCTATAGGTTACAGTCGAATATTCTAATTTAATTAGGACACCCATTAACTGAAACGACTGAGGGTGAGAACAAGACAAGCTTCTTGAAAAGTCTTACTAGAAGAAAGAATCAATCAACAATACTTAAAAGCTCCTCACCCAAAACCACAAAGCTGCCGAAAAACTCGAAGCCTAACACTCTCCGGAAACATTGCGTGCAGCTCAGTAGGAGCCGTGCATCCGATCAGTGCGCTTGCTTTTTGATCTGCTAGCTCGATCGTCTATTTTTAGTCCCCCGCCGTGATCACGTTGCTTAAGATATTTTTGTTTTGGTGACAGAAGTACTGCAGTAGAGGTGCTGTTTTTCCAAGTCATCCCAAAATGGACGTGGAAAATAATTCCGTAGAACCGACAAAGGTTGAACCGAGCTCGGATCAGGTGAGTGGAAAGGGGGTAGCATCTTCGATGGAGCATTGTTTTCTAATTTGTGTATCATTATTTCCGACCTTGGTCAACGAAAACAACAGCCACCAACGGTGTTGGTCAATCCAGTGACGGGGGAAGTGATTCCAAACTTCAACACCTACCAACAGAAGAAAAATCTCGCCCAAGGCATGATGGATCTGGCCCTGGTATCGGCCAACGCTAATCAGCTGCGCTACGTGATCGAATCGTTTACCCGCCATCCGTACTACTACTTCAGTTTGATCTTCATCTCGGTCAGCTTGGTTATTCAGATTGCGGTCGGCGTTGGGCTGATCATGAACAGCCGTTACGATGTGAATGACAAACGGGAGATCTGCAAGGCGAACAAAATCAACGATATGGTCACGATCGGAATCTTTCTGATAACGTTGGTCAACGTGCTGATATCGGCGTTCGGTGTCGCACCGCAAGTGAACTGATCTTTGTAGTTTGAGTTGGATATAACTGAGTGTGTGATTTTTTTTGTGTAATTTAAGGCAGCTTTTTTTTAAATAAATGAATTCAACGATATTTTAAAGAAATGTTTATAGTTATTGCAGCAACTTTCCCGTACATTTCGGCTTGATGCAAACAAGTATAGTATAAATTTCACGTGCTACATGCAGTAACAATTAAGTGTGAAATGAGAGGAAGCTGTAATCGAGGGAGAGAGTGAAATTCAAGATTGGATCGGTGCTTTTTTTTATATTCGGAAGCAAACTGGTTTTTCGATAATAAAATGCTGATTTATACGCACTGACCAAAAGACCTACATTTACGTTTGATTTACATATGAATAATGGGGATGATAAAAATGTGTATTTGCTAGCTCAAATTCATACCTCAGAGGCCATCCAACAGAGCGTCTGTATATGGCTATACCGGTTTCTGCAGCATCTTATGACTGGCTATCAACCATGCATTCTCGGATGACTTCCTGTCGGTAATTTACAATATTTCAAACATTCTAAGCCTACCATTAATGTTGGTACAGTAGCTGGTGAGATCAATAATAATACCCTAGGATCAGCAAATTCAAGCAACAGATTCTATATCGAACTTGAATCGACCGAGAATAACCTTTCGTCTACGGTTACGGCTATCGATGGCTCACAACACAAGAACTATGGAATTAATGGTAAATGTATATGCAGTGGTGGCAATTGATATTTAAAGTTGTTTGAGTATCAAAACACAATTTACTTAGCCTAATCATAGGTCATTACTCAAATTAATATAAACATACATCAGTGCAACTGTTCTGCTCACATTATGAGTGGGTGTTTTCATGAACAACCATAGTTAAATTTACGTAGTATATATTTTAAATAAGTTTTCAAATTCTTTCAATCACACCTCAATTTCATATGAATGTTTGTGATGATTGAGTTGACACAATAAAAATTTACTTATGCTTTCATAGGTTTGTGTGTGATAAATGTGACTTTGTTAAAGAAAGTATGAAAAATACACAGGTTTATACTTTAACGAATTTAATTGAGCTTAATTTTAAAATATAGTTCGCTACATTCTATTACTACATTCTGTTATTTGTCGAAAAATGTTTAAATTATCTCAAAAATCGTGCTTCCAAGTTTCTACTGTCATTTCCTCGGAGTGAACTTTATCCTCATGGGAATGTAGGACATATAGGATCGCTAAAGTGCCCGAGCAGGAGACAATATTTAATGAATACCTAATTATGACCTGATACCAAAATTTGGTGTTGATCAGCATGACATAAGAGGTAAAATACCAAAGAATAATACCAAAAAATTACATGCAAAATACTTTGCAAATAACAAAAATTGATATTTGGATACAAAAAGAATACCTGTGTGGATTGTTTTGGTATTGCATTTAAATAAGTTGATATTGGAATGGTATTGTGAGAACATTTTTTTGGTATTTTACCTCTTATATCAGGCTCATCCACACCAATTTAATGTATCGAGATATTCGTTCGTTCCCAAATTGAACTATGTACAAGCAAAGAAGGAAGGATCAAAATACGAAACAGATAATAATTCAACCAACACGAAAAGACACGTAACAGAAAACTTCATACTTATATTACGAGGAAAAAGAAAAACGGTTCAACGGGCACGCATTTCTACCTTTTTCAAACAGGTACTGTAGAACAGGTGCAATAAAGTGGCGAACACGAATTTGAAATGAGTAAGAAAATGCATTTCATGATTTAAAAAAATAAGACCAGCTAATAGGAAGCTTTTGCCAGTAGAAATTCAATTTTCATATTTTCATATGTAAAGACTTTAATTTAATACTTTTCGTCAGTGGAAAAATAAAAATTAAGAACAAGGTTCCATTAACCCCCATCTGCTTCAGCACGCACTTTGAGTTCACAGGAGTTATGTAATATTAACAGGAGTAATAAGTATTCACAATCGATAAAGAAAACTCTTTGTGAATATGTTCAAAGGAAGATTGATCAGCATCAAAACAACAGCAAAGAGTTATGGAAAAATTTGGAATCTTTATTAAAAACTAGTAATTGCAAACCGCGGTCCATAACTTTTAATGGCACATTAGAACAGTCAGATCAAGTAATTTCATCTAAGTTTAATGATTATTTTGTAGACAGTGTTTCATTGCTTAATCAATCCATTGAATTGGTCAATGAACCTGACGAAATAAAACAGCCAGTTAATAGTAGTTGTAGATTTGAAGGTTTTCACCCAATTACATTAGATGAACTTTGAGTTATTTGTTTTTCATTGGGAAAATCGGCTGGAGTAGATAATGTTAATGCTAGAGTTATTCAAGATTGCTTTCATCTTTCTAGACCTTATTGATAAATCATTGCAAACTGGACTTGTGCCACAAATTTGGAAGGAATCCTTAGTGGTCACTATTCAAAAAGTTGCTGGAACGATTAAAGCCGAAGAGTTTCGTCCCATCAACATGTTGCACATTAGAGAAAATTTTAGAACTTGTTGCTAAAGCCAGCTGTTGGAGTATTTAAATAGTAATAGTTCGTTGATACCAAGGTCATTCTTGTGAAACCGTTTTTTGGATCTTAAACGCGCTTTTGAAACAATTTCTAGGCCCTTGTTGTTAAGATCAATCAAGCGCTTTGGAATTACGAGTATTGCATATAAATGGTTTGAAAGCTGACACAACTCAATAAACTGTTTTTAATGATTCTGTTTCCAGTCTCGTGGGGAATAACCTTGGAGTGCCCCAGGGAAGTGTATTAGGGCCCCTGTTATTTATTATGTATATTAATGACTTGCAACGTGTTTTACGATTTTGCGACATTAATCTTTTGCAGATGATACTGTGTTATTCATTGCAGCTAAGGATGGTAGATAGTTGAAGTATAAGCAGTTGAAATTGAAAACAAGTAAAACTAAATTTATGGTAATTTCGCGGAATCGATTACATGAGAACGTCTCTGTTGTAATTGATGATGAGACTATTGATCGCGTTCGGGAGATTAAATATCTTGTCGTGATTATTGATGACACACTTAAGTTCAACTCTCACATTGACAATGTCATCAAGAAAATTGCCAAGAAGTATGGAATTCTATGTCGACTGAAAAACGATTTAACTATTGCCAGTAAAATACAGCTATACAAATCAATCATCTCTCCTCATCTAGACTTTTGCCCTTCCATTTTATTTCTGGACAATGCAACACCAATATCGAGATTACAGCGCTTGCAGAATAAAAGAATGCGTTTGATTTTGCGATGTAAGTAATAGATTCACTTCCTCAACTTTGATGCGAGATGCCTTACAATGGTTGTCGGTGGAGCAAAGAATTGTTTATTTTACTATGGTGTTAATTTTTAAAGTAGTTAACAGTTTGCTGCCTCGATATTTGTGTGATCGAATTGAAAGAGGAAGTGACTTTCATAGATATAATACTAGAAACGCGGTTGAAATAAGAACACCACATTTCTTGACTTGTGCTTCACAAAATTCATTTTATTATACAGGAATAAATGTTTTCAATTCGATGCTTAGTCATATCAAACGTTCAGCAACACTTACAGAATTTAAAAGACACTGCATTTCACACGTTAAAACTGTCTGTCAGTTATCTGCTGATTTTATATGAATTGACAAATTATGTATCTTGATGGATTATTTTATATGGATAGCTGTCATAACGACTTTTTAATAATTAATGTAGCTCTTCAAAAACTATTTCTGTTCGTCACGATGGTGATGATGGATTTTTAATATTTGATTGATGAAGATTTAAAAAAAAAAGTAGTCTGCAAAGGTTTGAGCCTCGCGCGCGTATTACGGATATAGAGGACTGAATTTTAAATTTGATAAAAAAAAAATACAATTTTGAAGCTAATTTGGAAGATACCTTGAGTTAGTAGTAAGTTTTCTGGGAAATGCGGGGGTTCGTGAGCATTCCTGACATTGCTGAAAATTATGATAGCATCAGATTGCAGGGTAACTACCCAAGTAACAATTCAGTAACCATTTAGCATCCACTATGATTTATGATGGTTTTATAACGGCAATGAACAATCCATTTAGTTTAAATATAGCATTTCAAAGTGTAAAACATTCCTGCTTAGTAATTCAGCTTTTTGCTGTTTTAAAAACCTTTTATAGTCTGCCAAGAAAGTCAGAAATAGTCTTGTTTTGAAAATAAATTTAAACAGTCATCAATCCCTCCTTAAAACTGTTCTGTAATTCAAGCATAAACGTCATTAGCAATTGTTTATTAATGTCTTGATAAAATACTTTATTAACGTGTTCTATCATTATAAAAGCAACCATAAAACCATTAGGTTTTGCATTAGAGCAAAAAGCATTTATTGTTGCTTTTAGGCTTTTTAAAGTGCATAATTAACTCCACAATTACTCTGTTTACAAATTGAGCTTAAAAAATGGTTCCTCATAGTTAATAAATGCCAAATTTATGACAAGGAAATTTATGTAGGATGAAAAATTTAAGTCGATTTCAGCAAAATTTACTTCTTTAGAAGAACCACGACACCATCAACGACTGACCATCTGGCGGAGAAGATCAAACTGAGCGGGGCCCTTGAATTCATAAAACATTGTCGAAAGTTTAAAAAACATACCAGCCTTCTCCAGATCTTGCGAAAAGATGACAACCGACAGCAAACCACTGAAACTGTTAGTTAGCGGAGAGTAGCTGGTTTCCGATCCATAGCAGCGATTTTATTCGGCAAAAGAATCAACTCTTCGAAAATTCCATTCAAGCGTACATCCCTGCATCGTCCATAAATGCTGCCATAAATCTGAACGGGTTAGGATCAAGCAAAATGGCTTTAGATAAATACAATTCAGCCTGCAAGTTTTCTTCATAAAATCCATTTTAAAACCTTATTAATTTAGTTAGGTAGGTTCCGATTCAACACATTGTAGTTTCAATTTTATACCTATGATCTTGACTTTTTTACCTAGGGGATGAGTACTTAAGGGGGTTAGATTTTGATAAATTTTTTAGT